ATAAAAATAATAATAATAAAATAGAAATAAAATCAAACACCAACCTACATTACTCATTTACAATTTTTTTTTTTTTTAATTTTTTTTTAAATTTAAAAATGCATAAATGTACAAAAGGAAAAATAGAAATAAAATAATAATAAAATGAAAATTAAAATGCAACGAAGGAGAAACTCGATACAACTAGTGTTTAACGTCGCTAGAAAGACGTGAGATGTTCTCAATCTTCAAAATAAATGGGATCTACCAAGAGGGCAGATTCCACATTTCTTTGAAAATTTTGTCCATCAATGTATGGTTTAAGCCTTTGACCATTAACTTTGAAGGTCCCTTCATCTTTCAGATTTTTAAGTTCAACAGCCCCATGAGGTGAAACAGAGATAATTTGATAAGGGCCTTCCCATTTGGTTCGAAGCTTTCTAGGGAAAAATTTGAGCCTAGAGTTGAATAACCAAGCCTATTGACCGGCTTCAAAGGACTTTTTCACAATATGTTTATCATGAAATGCTTTTGTCCTTACCTTGTAAATTTTTGAACTATCATAGGCATCATTTCTCAATTCCTCTAGCTCATTGAGTTGGAGTAAACGGTCCTTTCCAGCCTTATCAAGATCAAAGTTGAGCCTTTTTATTGCCCAAAGTGCTTTGTGTTCTAGCTCAACCGGAAGATGACAAGGCTTCCCATAAACAAGTCTATATGGAGACATGCCTATTGGAGTCTTGTAAGCTGTCCGGTAAGCCCACAAAGCATCGTTCAATTTTCTTGACCAATCTTTTCGGGTTGGATTGACAGTTTTCTCAAGAATATGCTTGATTTCCCTATTTGACACCTCGACTTGCCCACTTGTTTGGGGATGGTAGGGAGTGGCCACTTTATGTGTGACGGAGTATTTCAAGAAAAGTTGCTTCAAGAATTGATTACAGAAATGTTTTCCTCCATCACTTATCATAGCCCTTGGCATACCAAAACGAGCAAAGATATTTGATTTAACGAATGCAATTACCACGGAGTGGTCATTCGTTTTGGTAGCACAAGCCTCAACCCACTTTGAAACATAATCAACGGCAACGAGGATATATTGAAAGCCATAAGACATTGGGAATGGTCCCATAAAGTCTATGCCCCATACATCGAAGATTTCAACTACAAAGATTGAAGTTAAGGGCATCATGTCTCTCTTTGACATTGATCCCAACTTTTGACACCGAACACACACCTTACAAAAGTTATAGGCATCTCGGTGGATAGTGGGCCAGAAGAGCCCACTTTGAAGAACCTTCAACGCGGTCTTTTTTCCACTAAAATGCCCACCACAAGCAAGTGTGTGACAAAATGCAAGGACGCTCGGAACTTCACTTTCCGGCACACATCTCCTGATGATTTGATCCGGGCAATAACGAAACAGAATGGGATCTTCCCAATAGTATTTCCGGATGTTAGCAAAAAATCGGTCATTTTCTTGTTTTGAACAATTAATGGGAAGTTTGCTGGTTGCAAGATAGTTAACAATGTCGGCGAACCAAGGCAACGTCCCATTTGAGATTTGAAAGAGTTGTTCATCCGGAAATGATTCATGAATTTCAAGATTTGGAGAAGATTCAACCATTAATCTAGACAGATGATCGGCAACGACATTGTCGGAGCCCTTTTTATCCTTGATTTCAAAGTCAAATTCTTGAAGAAGTAGAATCCATCTTATCAAGCGAGGTTTGGTTTCCTTTTTCATTAAAAGATGCCTAAGAGCGGCATGATCGGAAAACACAATTACCTTGGATCCTAAGAGATATGACCGAAATTTATCAAGGGCATATACTACGGCAAGTAACTCTTTCTCGGTGGTAGAATAGTTCAATTGGGCACCTGAGAAAGTCTTACTCGCATAGTATATAGCATATGGTAGTTTACCTACCCTTTGCCCCAAAACAGCACCCATTGCGAAGTCGGAAGCATCACACATAATCTCAAATGGTAAGGACCAATTTGGAGGTTGCATGATAGGAGCGGATGATAGAAGAGTGCGAAGTTGATGAAAAGCATTTAGGCATGCTTCATCAAAGACAAATGGAGTCTCCTTGGCAAGAAGGTTACACAAGGGTCTAGCAATTTTGCTAAAGTCTTTGATGAATCGGCGATAAAAACCGGCATGTCCTAGAAATGAGCGGATTTCTCTCACCGTAGTAGGTGGAGACAATTCAGAAATTAGCTCAACTTTCGCTCTATCTACTTCTATTCCTCTTTTAGAGATTACATGTCCAAGCACGATTCCTTCTTGAACCATGAAATGGCTCTTTTCCCAACTTAACACAAGATTAGTCTCACGACATCTTTGAAGCACTTTTTTGAGATTTTGGAGACACGAATCAAATGAGGACCCAAAAACCGAGAAGTCATCCATGAAGACTTCTAAATACTTCTCCACCATGTCCGAAAAAATTGACATCATACACCCTTGGAAAGTGGCAGGAGCATTGCACAATCCGAAAGGCATCCATCGATAAGCAAATGTACCGAAAGGACATGTGAATGTGGTTTTTTCTTGATCCAATGGATCTAAGGCCACTTGATTGTACCCCGAGTAACCATCTAGGAAGCAATAGTATCGTTGCCCAGCCAATCTTTCCAAGATTTGGTCAATGAAAGGCAATGGAAAATGGTCCTTCCTAGTGGCAGAATTCAGCTTTCGGTAATCTATACAAACACGCCATGAAGTGGCGGTGCGTTTCGAAATAAGATCACCTTTAGCATTTTTAACAACTGTGATTCCCGACTTTTTAGGAACCACTTGAGTTGGACTAACCCACTTGGAATCAGAGATAGGATAAATGATTCCCGCATCTAGAAGTTTCACAACCTCCTTCATGACAACTTCCTTCATATTTGGGTTCAATCTCCTTTGAGCATCCCTAAATGGCCTTTCATCCTCTTCCATGTGTATGCGATGCATACAAATAGAAGGGTCAATGCCTTTTAGGTCAGCCACACTCCATCCAATGGCTTCTTTGTTAGCTTTAAGCACTTCCAAAAGATCATTCTCTTGGTCATTTTCAAGATTGGAAGCAATGATGACTGGAAGAGTCCCTTTTGGGCCTAAGAAAGCGTATTTCAGATTTGATGGAAGAGGCTTAAGCTCAAGAATAGGAGGAGAGATGAGAGATGGAACTGGTGGAGTACTAGAGAGTGAAGGAAGAGGTTCTTTCTTGCTTTTCCAAGGTGGGTAATCCAAAGTGGCCACAGAGTCCATCAAAGCATTCACCTCACTTATGGATCCTTCTGTGTCAAAACCACAACTTTCAAACATTTCACAAAGGCACGCCTCAAGAGGGTCCTTAGATAGAATAGAGGGAAGAGTCTCCTCTATGGTTTCATCCAAGACATCCACTAGGAAACACTCGTCTTCATCTGTGGGATGTTGACTCGCATTGAATACATTAAGCTTAACCATCATGTTGCCAAATGAGATATCCAAAATGCTAGATCTACAATTAATGGTGGCATTGGCAGTGGCAAGGAATGGCCTTCCTAGGATGACTGGAATGTGATTGGTGAGATTAGGGACTGGCTCAGTATCTAGTACCACAAAATCAACCGGGAAATAAAATTTATCAACCTTAATTAGAATGTCCTCAACAATTCCCCTTGGTTTTTTAATTGATCTATCGGCTAGTTGGATGACTACCGATGTTGGCTTCAAGTCCCCTAATCCTAATTGCAAGTAAACAGAGTATGGAATGAGATTGATACTTGCACCTAAATCAAGGAGAGCTCTACGAACCTCTTGGTTTCTAATAACACAAGAAATAGTCGGAGCACCCGGATCCTTGAACTTAGGAGGAGTGTTAGAAAGAATGATGGAACTCACTTGTTCTGTTAAAAGCACTTTCTTAAGGTCCCTTCCCTTGCTCTTCCTCTTTTGTGTGCACAAGTCCTTCAAGAACTTTGCATATGGTGCAATTTGCCTAATTGCATCTAGAAGAGGAAGATTAATTTTCACTTGTTTAAACACTTCCATCATATCATGAATTTTTCCTTCTTGTCTCCCAAATGATGAAGTCTCTCTCAAAACTTGAGGAAATGGAGCTTTTGGCTCATAAGGCTTCTCTAATTGGGGAGATGATGATGAAGATGATGGAATGTCCTTTTTGGAACCACTAGCATCCAAGGAAATTGGAATAGAATTTGGAATGGGATGGATGCAACCACTAGGTTGTGCCAATTCATTATCCTCCTTAGGTACCTCTACCTTATTATCCACTTTCCTACCACTCCTCAAGGTAGTAATTGCTTGAACTTGCTCATTTCCAGAAAATTCTGATGAAGGACTTGCTTGCGCCATAAATTGCCCTTTAGGATTGGTCTCAGTTTGACTAGGCAACTTACCTTTCTCTCTCACATTTAAAGAATTAGCTAATTGCCCAATTTGAGCTTCAAGCTTTGCAATTGATTGAGAGTGAGAATAAAACAGTTGATTATCTTTTTGAAGATTACCTAAAGCTTGCAAGACTTTGTCCTCAAAAGCGGAACTCTTAGGAGGCGCTTGATTTGGATTAGAGTAAGATTGAGAATTTGATGCTTGAGGATGAGAGTATGACTGAGGATTTGATGCTTGAGGTTGAGAGTAGTGATTCACATTCTGAGGATAGAATGAAGGACGGTAACCTTGAGAATTCTGATTTTGATTTTGGAGATGTGGGGGAATATACTTTGCTTGGTAACCTTGATTTTGAGGAGGGTTTGCACCGTCTCCTTGATTTCTCCATGCAAAGTTAGGATGATTTTTCCACCCCGGATTGTATGTATTGGAATAAGGGTTGTTCCCTTGATGAATGAAAGCTGCATTTGCTTGTTCTTGAGACTCACTTGGTATAATTTGTCCAAGAGGGCAATTTGAAGTATGGTGAGTGTAACTAGAACAAGTCATGCACATTTCATTGGAATGGTGAGGATATGATTGAGTTGCCGGACCTTGATTCAAAAGGAATGTATCAAACCTTTGAGTAAGATTTTTGACCTCAGCGGCAATTTCCATGGAAGAGTCTATTTGATTTATAGCTTTCTTTCCTCCCATATGTGCTAGGTGACTACCCCTAGAAGATGAAGATCTATGCATTGAGTTTTCACTCATTTTTTTGAAAAGTTGCCAAATTTCATCTTCATTTCTTTCAATGTAGCTTCCGCCACAAGAAGCATCAACAATGCCCTTATTGGCATCAGATAAACTTGAAAAGAAACATTGAACTAATTACCACTTAGGAATGTCATGATGTGGACACTTCCGTAGCAAGTCATTCAAACGTTCCCATGCTTCATGAAGGGGTTCTCCTTCTTGTTGTTTAAATTCACAAATGGAAGTTCTCATGGCATCAGTTCGACTTGTGGGGTAATACTTTTTTAAGAACTCTTGTTGCAATTGTGCCCAAGAGGTGATTGTATTTGGCCGCAAGTTGTTGAACCAATATTTAGCTTTATCCCGAAGAGTGAAAGGGAAAAGCTTCATTTTTAGGACTTCTTCCGGAACATCCGTGATTTTCACGGTGGAACAAACTTCCAAGAACTCATCTAAATGTTTATAAGGCTCTTCATTGCTCAACCCATAGAAAAGGGGGCACATGTTAATGGTGGAAGCCTTAATCTCATAATGATGAGCACGAAAATTTGGCAATTGAATGCAAGTAGGTGCATTATATTGATTTGGAGTGTAACGATCCCTAAGGACCATTGGAGGATTGAGAGGATTGAGAGGAGGATATGGCATTTGACCTTGTTGATGATATGCCATTTGACCTTGTTGAGGGTATGCCATTTGAACATATTGTTGTTGTTGCTCACCAATTGGGGGAACAACATTTGGCCTTGGCATCCCTAGATTAGGTTGTTGCACCGCATGATTAACTGGTTGTGGCATTCCCAAGGGTGGATGCACACCTTGAGGATCCACAATATGAACTTGTGGTGGGTGGTGCACACCATTATGATCCACATGACCAAGATCTACAATGGGATCTTCAATTGGATCTTCCATTAAAGGTAATGGAAGATCAAAATTTAAAAGATTAAGATGACTATCCCTAGTACTACTTCTTAAACGCCGAACAAAAATTTCGAGATTTTGATTTACAGGAGCAAGAGGACGATTAAGTGATCTACGACCATGCATGCACTAGAACAAGTCAACACACCAACATTTCAAAATTTCAACCTCCACATACGATGTTCCCAAACTCCTCAATAATATCAATGCACTTAAAACAAATAAATGCCTCCACACGGGCCGATGCCTTCTACAAGAAGGTATGCTTGGACTTAAAAATAAAATAATTCAATTTAATCCTCCACTTGGGCTGTCCAAAGCATGCAAATTGGTATACAATTAAAGTACTAAAATTAAAGAGAACTTACAGATGGTCCTTAAGCAACTTCAAATTTTTTTAATTGCTTCTAAGTCCAGCATTTGCTCCACTTTGCTTTAAGTACCTAATTGACAAATCAAATAATAAAAAAAAAATTAAAAATTAAAATGACTTAAAAGTAGACAATCAACAAAGAACTAATGTTTAATTCAATTCTTCAAAACCGTTAGATCCCCGGCAACGGCGCCAAAACTATGGTGCGACCGAGCGTGTGTACAAAATAATGCACAACACTTTAGGTTTAGAAATAATGTCAAGTGGGCACCATATTTTAAAATTTATAAAACCACTAAACACTTATACCATGGAGTATGAAGTGAGCAGGGATCGTCCCAAGAGATCTAAACAATTATAGGTTTTCCAGAATTGAATTCTACTTTAGTGCTTATGTGATTGCCAAAAGGGTTTTGTTTGTGATTAAAACTAATTTTAAACTAAATGATTGCAATAAAGAAATAGAGTTTAAGAGATTGGAAAGAGACTTAGGGTGTAGGATTCATCACTAAGCACATTCCCTAACTCACTCACTTTCAACTAATTGGGGAAATAATACTATGTAATCTATATGTGGCTAACAAGTGCAATGAAAAGTGTAAACCATCAATTTCAAGCATGAATCAACTACCTAATGACAATTAAACTAAGTGTAGTGCAATTCACCCATTCAAAGCATGATTTATCAATCCAAGTTACAAATTTAACACACATTAATCTAGAAGATAATGCAATTGTGACAAAAAGTATGGAATTCAAACACAAGTATGGATGGTCTACTTACCTAATAATTGAATTGCAATTAAATTAATTAAACTTAAATTAAACTAATTAAACATGAATTTAAAACTAATTAGACAACAATTTAACCTAAACATGTAGTACCATCCATCAAATGGAAGCATTTTTCATCAATTTGAAACACAATTACAACTAAGCAATACCATGCATAGCCATCACAAGAATCAATTAACAAAGAATTCATGTGTAAAATTTGTTTATCAATCAACCACACATAAGACAATATGAGATTAATACAGATAATCAATTGGAAGAATTTAATTCATAATATTCCAGACTATACACTAATTACATAAAT